TCCCACCCTCAGCTCGTACTGCAATGTCTTACGCACAACAGAAACTCCAAGAAATAATGATTTAAAAATATGAAATGGGAGTGAATGTCTAAAGCCAGAAACTTGTACTACATTGGTGTGGCCTCAGGATGGATCAGCAGGCTCTAAACAGCCCTCTCATGTGTGGAACTCCGACTGAAAAGGCGCTGTCTGGCAGTCAAGGGCACCGCCTGGAACCAGAATCCAACGCTCAAATCCCAACTCTGACCCCACCAGACGCGTGACCTTGAGAAAGTCACTCAGCCTTCCGATGCCTCAGTTTCTTCATCAATAAAATGCGAACTTGATGAGCAGGTGCTCCTCCAAGTGTTTAAACAGTGTCTGACACCCACTGCCAGCAACGCACACTGCAGCTACTGCCAGTCTCATGGCTGCTGATGGAGCAGGGACGGTTCTGCTGTAATGACTGTCATGAGCTTAAATGCAAGTCGTCACTCACCAAACCAACTCTATAAACCCAAAGTGGCAAAATCCATTAAAACCAAAACTGTTACAGTCTCCCAAGGCAACAGAAATAAAAGCAAAGTAAAGAAATGGGACCTAATCAAACATAAGCTTTTACACAGCAAAGGAAACCATAAACAAAACAAAATGACAACCTATGGAATGGGAGAAAATATTTGCAAACAATGAGACCGACAAAGGCTTAATTTCCAAAATATACAAAGAGCTCATACAACTCAATATCAAAACAATAAACAACCCAATCAAAAAACGGGCAGAGGGGCTTCCCTGGTGGCGCAGTGGTTGAGAGTCTGCCTGCCAATGCAGGGGACACGGGTTCGTGCCCCGGTCCGGGAGGATCCCACATGCCACGGAGCGGCTGGGCCTGTGAGCCGTGGCTGCTGAGCCTGCGTGTCCGGAGCCTGTGCTCCACAACTGGAGAGGCCACAGCAGTGAGAGGCCCGCGTACAGGAAAAAAAAAAAAAAAAAACATGCAGAGGTTCTAAATAGATATTTCTCCAAAGAAGACATTCAGATGGCCAATAGGCACATGAAAAGATGCTCAAAATCACTAATTATTAGAAAAATGCAAATCAAAATTGCAATGAGGTACCACCTTACACCAGTCAGAATAGCCATCATTAAAAAGTCTTGAAATAACAAATGCTGGAGACAGTGTGGAGAAAAGGGAGCCCTCCTGCACTGTTCGTGGGAATGGAAAGTGGTGCAGCCACTATAGAGAACAGAATGGAGGCTCCTTAAAAAACTAAGGAACCATATGATCCAGCAATCCCACTCCTGGCCACATCTGGAAAAAACTCTAATTCGAAAAGATACATGCACCCCTATGTTCATAGCAGCACTATTTACAACAGCCAAAGACATGGAAGCAACCTAAGTGTCCACTGACAGATGAATGGGTAAAGAAGATGTGGTACATATATACAATGGAATACTACGCACCCATAAAAAGAATGAAATCATGCCATTTGCAGCAACACGGATGGACCTAGAGATTATCATACTAAGTGACGTAAGTCAGACAGAGAAAAACAAATACCATATGCTATCACTTACATGTGGAATCTAAAATATGATACAAATGAACTTATTTACAAAACAGAAATAGACTCACAGACACAGGAAAAAACTTATGGTTACCACAGGGGAAAAGGTGTGGGGGACACAAATTAGGAGTTCGGGATTAACATATACACACTACTATATATAAAATAGATAAACAACAAGGACCTGCTGTATAGCACAGGGAACTGTATTCCATACCCTGCAATGAACCATAATGGGAAAGAATATGAAAAAGAATAGATAGATAGATATATGTGGATAACTGAAGCATTTTGCTGCATACCAGAAACTAACACAACTTTGTAAATCAACTATACTCCAATAAAAAACAAAAGCAAAAACAGAAAACCAAGACCACTAAAGCCCGCACGGCCTCTGGCTCCTTCTGGGGACCCAGGAACTGGCGGGCAGGCGAAGCTATACCTCGGCTCCGCTCGGTGTTTAAAAGGAGGAGGAGCCCCCGCCACTGAAGGCCACAGACAAGCTCTCAGAGTGATCAGAGGGCGCGCCTCCCTCCCGTCGTCGGAACCGTCCCACATGGGCACGGCACAGAGCCAGAGATGAAGGGCCAGGCCTAAGAAACGGCTCACTGCACCAGCCAGGGCACTGGGACCAGCTGGGCTCCCCCGATGCCCCAACCCGGCCCCTCAGAGGACCCCTTTGGGGCCTAGGGCCCCGCCGTGGCTCATTCCATGGGTCAGGCGGGGACAGAGGCAGGGATCCTCCAACTAGAGGGCGAGGCCGAGGTGAGAGGAGGCTGTCTAAGGACAGGAACACCAGCCCATCCATCCGGGGCCTTTGGACTTGGCCAGGGAGGTGAAGGCAGGAGACGGTGCCAGGACCTGGGAGGCTGCCCGCCGGAGGGGTGCCGGGGAAGGGTCGTGTCACTGCCAAGTCTTTCCTGCTACACTAGGAGCCTCCGTCCGCTTAGAACAAAGGCCCCGCCTCGTCCTCCCCAGGCCATGCCTAAGCCAGGCAGAGGGTCCAACCTGCACGGAAACCTGCAGACTGGCCCGCGTCTGCCTAAAGGGATCAGGGTGCTGTCCGAAAGGTCCCCACACGTCTCGGGTGGTCATGAGATGCAGGCGAGTCTGCATTCCCCTCAGAACCACGACACCCACTGGAGGCTATAAATGACGGTTTCGGTACGCTCAGGAGAGAGCACATTGATCCTGTGGCCTCGAGCACCCCAGCGCCTACCCCTGAAGGTTCTGTGCCTCAAACTCAGGAGCTCCCGTGGTGGTGGGACGGCTGGAGGGGCATCAGGGCTGAGGTGCTCCTGAGGGACCCTGCGGGCTGTGCCAGGCCGGGGCCACCACCGCTCCCGGAGAAACTCAGCAGGACCAGGCCGGGCGCCCGTGAAGACCCGGGCTGCCGGGGCCCCCCAAACCCTCACACACCCAGCCTGAGCCCTCCTCGCTCCTTGCTTCCAAATAATGGCGTGGGTCGAACTGCACCCATTTTACAGGCGAAATCGCCAGATGCTACCAGGGCGGCCAGGATGGAGAGCTGGGAAGCGGCTGGGAAGCAGGGCCCACTGCCCATCTCTGGTGGGGCCACCTCTCCTCATCGCTGTCCCACCCCCACCTGAACAGGAAAATGCTGGAAAATAACTGGGGACGATCTGGCAGAAATCACTGGACCGTCAGCATCTAGTGCCCTTTCCAGTTGTTCAGTCCCATGGCCTTGGGCCTCACTAACTACACGTGAGCTACAGAGAGGTTCTCACGGAGGGGTCACATTCACCTCCTGGTCTCCGGCGCTCTCCCCACTTAGGGCGCAAACACTGAGATTAACTCAGCATCCGTGGCATCTGGGCCTGGGTCTCCTGCTCATTTGCTCGGACATCTCAGCACCCTCATTCCAAAGAAACTCAACACATCTTTTGAAATCCCAGAGACCAGCCTTTCAATTCAGTTTAAATCAGCCGATTCCATCCGTAACTGTTTTCTGAGCAGTGATTACACACAGCTGTGTGAGTGAGCTTCCAAAAGGGGCCACGTCCCATGTCCGCCCAACCATCTGCTTGGCGCCGTGCACACTCACCACGGCCCTGGGCCGCACGGCCCCACGGAGCCAGCCTCACCCACCCACGTGCCCTCGTTCTGCTTCCACGGTGATGCATTTTCTTGTAAAATTATCAGAAAGAAAAGCTACAGTGTTTTTTTTTAATCTTCATCCACGTAGAATAAGTTCCAAAAGAGTTTACTACTAATACAGCTTCCCTGCCAGCACCTGGACTCTGAGAACATATTTTCACAAAAATCCAGGTGATGGCTAAAGTCAGATTGACAGCAGTTATAGATCCCTATCAATAATCTGGAACAAGCTACATCTGTCACTTGCTCCTCCAATGACAGAGACATAAGCTAGGATAGATGGGTGTGTGGCTTGCTTGGAAAAGGAGTTTGAATGTCTAGTTTACTTTAACCTACAGCAAATTCACTATCATTTTTCAAGACAGAGAACATAACTCTGCAAGAAGTTTTTTGCCTGCAAGTAGTACCTACTTGGGCTGTGCAAGAGGATTTAATGCTGCTTTATTCACCCTCCCTCCTCAGCAGGAGAAAAAAAAGGTGTGGAGGGAGGTTTTCTCACCTGCATTTATAAACGTTAAGTTGTGAGTTAATCCAATTCTCTGTAGTTATTTACAAGGCCACTGTGACATTTATTCCAGAGTGTGTGTGTTTGTGTGCACACGTGCACACACATGCATGCATCTATCATAGTACAGACTTCTACTGACTTGCAGGGGGGGTTGCATGTTGCAATAAACAGACATAATTTAAACACTGCTATTTATAAGAAAAATCAATTCCAAGATTCCTCAAGAGCAAACAGTTTCTAGACGCTCTGTGTGGAAGCCCACATCTCTGTGCTTCCTTTCTCCTTTCCTCCCAAAGCCAGAATCTGAATGCTAGTTACTGACAACGACAGAGTAACAACAATTAAGGAAGTCGTGTGGCCAGTTTAGCACCATAGACTTTGGACTGACACAAACGCTAAAACGTCCCAGAGACGGGAAAGCAGACGGTAGGCTGAGCAGAAGCCTATGAAGGATCGTGACCATACAGCACGCGTGTGCACCGAGAAGCTGTGATTCACTGGTCCTGCTATCACACGTACTGATAGGTGATGAGAAAGATGCAAGTCCAGCTGCCCTCCTGAGGGTGCAGCTAATTAAAGATGAGGGCAGCTACATCCAACCGTGGAGACCCTCGGGCACATCACTCCCACTCCCCGGGGTCAACGCTCCTGGAACAGCCATGATTCCAGCTTCAATTCTTAGGCTTTGGATTACAATAACCGCTTAGTATAATCTACATTTACCCACAGTATCACAACTTCTCTTCTTTGTTCCTGACTGGAACATCTTATAAATCACGGGCCGACCCAACAGTGGGCGCACACAGACCCCTAGGGATACTCACTCTTGTTGTAGCAGGTGGCCAGCACTCCCTTGTCTGCAGGGCTGGCACTAATGTGCCAGATCTCACCCGCTTGATGGAGAAGCACATTTTTATTTATAATGTTATTCTCATCATCAAAGTCTATGACGTGGATCTACAAACACAAGGAAAGAGAATGTCAGAACCTCACAGTTTCCACATGCCTTCATGCAACACAGTGACTACAGGAATAATAATCAAATGCACCTTTCACATCTTTACTGAACAGTTATTCTTACTACACTAACAGTATACACTTAAGACAAGTGTGAAATCCCCACAAAGTATTGTTACGATTTGCAGCTACAGAACCCTGCCCCCTGCCACATCAACTCCTAAAGAGACAAGACACCAAAAGCTGCGTCCCCGCCTCGCTTGGTTAGGCCATGGCTGGTGCCAGGGCCAGAGTCTTCCAGGATGGTGCCACCAAGCCAAGACTGTCCCAGACCTGCTGCACAGCTGTGGGAGGAGAACGGGGCAGGGCACTGCTGCCTGATGAGGCCCAGTCTTAGCCCTGCTCTGCCCACTCTGTAGTGGGCACAATTTAACTCACGTTGGAAAGAAATGAGGCAGGAAGGGGTGAGAAAGCGCTGCGTGTTAGCACATCTTAAACCTCTTTTTAAAAACAAAGCCAACAGCTGTCAATGCTTCTGATCATATAACATTGATTATAACGACATGACATTTTAGCCACTAAATGAAAAGTTACATGTGCTATCACCATGCTTTTCTGGATAATTTTTAGAGGAATGGAAATGATGTCCACGTTCACTCTCTTATCAACAGTCAAGTCACTGGAAAAAATAAAATTAAACATTTTTAAAATAAATTGATACTTGTAATTATGAATCTGCACAAAGATTTATATCCAAGAATGTTCACTGTGGCACTGATCGTCATAATGAAAAATTAGAAGCCACCTAAATGTCTGGCGACAGGGAACTGTTCAAATAAACTGTAGTACTTGACTGTAATATAATACTGTGAAGCCATCCATTCTACTATGAAAACTATTTAGTCCCAGGGAAGAGGGTCCGTAACATATATCCAAGGGGAAAAGAACCAGTAAGAGAACCGCACACACGCACCACACGCTTTCTGTTAAAAATCAAGCACATCTGAATGAGAGAACCAGAAAGCGACTGGTTACCTTTGGGTGGTGGGATCATAGCGGCTTTTCCTTTACTTCTTCGTGGTTTGTTTTCATTTTTAACATTTCTCATGATTAATATGCACTACTTTGCAGTCAAACATTAAATGATATTTTAAAAACTGTTTCCATGACACCCGAAGCATCTCCACTCTGCACTTGCTCAGGGCCTCTCTCTTCTCGGTTGCTTGCTTTGTACAGTGTCCTCAGGTGAAAACAACCCCCGGCACCTTAAGGGGTCGCTCTGGACTCAGAGTAGAATTCAAATCCCGCCATTCCCACTTACGGCCTGTGTGACCCCAAGCCTCAGTGTCCCCGAGAATACAATGCAGGTGAAGGGACAAAGCTCCTGGGATTGCTGGGACCAAGGGGTCGTGCAGGGCTGATCTCGGAGTGGGGGGGCACACACACTAGCTCCCGCCCTTCTCTGGGGGAGGGAGATTAAAAACCATGACTGTTGTTTTTATCTTTAAAACTACTTTCAGTCAGTTTCTCCCAGCACTCATAGCCCAATGTAGTTTTCACAGTGGGTTTGGAAATACTCCTGGTGGACAGCTTCTACATTCTAAAAGTTATATGTGAACACAGACTAAAAGGCAATACACAAAATCAGGCAGAATTTTTGTGTTGTTAGGGTGAACAGGAAATTTTTTTCTTAAGTATTTGACGTTTCCTCCTTATCAGAAAATCCATGAACACTTAAAAAGGAGGCACTTAAATGTACAATTCTTCCTCTCCCCAGAGCTCTCCCTCTGCAGTGCCCTGAAGCATCGGGACCACCACCCGGGGGAGCACAAGAGCTCTGGCTCCTCCTCTGCTGGCTCTGTGGACCCAGGTGCCAGGTGAGCGCACAGCCCCCCTGCACACCTGCAGCTCCTAGCTGGGAGCCGTCCTTCCACCGGACCTCTGACCTCTGTGCCCACACTTTGCGCTCCTCTGGAGGACCTGCTCCGTCTGGGGAAGGCTCTTCCTTCTTGTGAAGACCAGAAGCACGTGGGGTCCAAACAGGCTCTAGTACGTGATCCCAGCTGGTCTTCCTCTGGGCTCATTTCTTACCCACTCAGGCACACACAAGTCAGCCTCTGCCCTAGACGGCTGGGCGTTGGGAGGAGTCCAAGACCCCCACACACACAGGTCCACCTCTCCTAACCTGATAGTCTGATACTATGGCCCTTAACCTTCATCATTAAGCTTTGGAGTCCTAGCGTTCTTCCATGTCCTCACCTACAGCAGGCTCATGGATGGGTCCAAAGGATACGTCTTCATGAGATGTTGTAATCCAGGTACGCTCAGAGAGAACGGTAGGACATCATCACCACAAACAAGTAGGGATCAAAAGAATAATGACTAATATGCAAAATGCGACAGGCACCGAGCTATTTTACACACGCTGGTTCCTTTAATCCTAAAAAGAGCCCTGTGATAATATGATAACCTATCATTATTAGCCACGACTACAGGGGAAGAAACCAAGGTTTACAGAGCTGGAGTATCACGGTTCATTCGGTTAGAAATGGGATTCCAGAGCCTGTGCTAAGAGCCGCCACACCGTCGGGGCACGGGATACCCCACCCTCCCGACACTAGGCTTTGCACTGCAGCAGGGCAGCAAGAGTAGCAGGCAGCTCCTGATTCGGAAGAAAGAGACGGTAACTTAACTGCCTGTCCTCAGGGCACCACCCTCTGCCCAGCTCACACAACGTACACAGAAATGTTCTGTTGCATAAACATATGCAGTTACAGGCCAATTACAAAAACAAGTACTACAGTGGAGAAAACACCATGATTAAAGTGAGTGCAAAGGATTATGGGGGCACAAAAGACAGAACATTTATTGTTGGCTCAGAGGGTGGGGAAGACGTGTGGTTGTCTGGGTAGTGTGTAAATGTTACTTTAAATTCTTTACACAATTGCTGAGCTTGGAAAATGCTTCCAACAGCTTGTAATGAAGCTCAAGGTCATATGTTTTGAATTACCATTATTAAAATTTTAAAGTTGGACTTACCAGTGCAGGGCTAAGGGCACAGATGACACTATAAAAATTTAGAAGCCAGAGTTATAAAACTTATTAGGAAACCTGTAAAGATGATCTTAATCAAGCCCCCTCATCTTCCCGCAGAATCAGGGCTCAGAGAAAGCTGTCCATGTCCACAGTACCCATCACTGGAGCACGTGACTCCAGGCCGCTGCCCTCTGTGTGCTTCTTTTCTTATTGAACTCAAGGTAAAGTCTTAAAAATTCAAAAACAAAAAAAAAAAAGTGTGGTAAAATTGGAAAGGAAAAAGCGAAAGCTCGCCTCCGGGGGAAAGTTAAGGATCCTCCCTTCTCGCTTCCAGAAACCGCCCTGGATCCAGCCTCACCAGAAACCCAGCTCTTCCTGATGCTTCCTTAACAGGAGCATAAGTTCCTGTAGTCATTAAAGGAGGGGGAAGGATGGGGCGGGGTCGGGGGGGGGGGGGATGGGGGGGGGGGGGGGGGAGGGGGGAGGGGGGAGGAGGGGCAGGAGGAGGGGGACGGGAGGGTGACGGGGGAGAAATGGAGGCTCAGTCTGGAGTGGGGCTGGGAACCTGAATTTCTAACAAACGCCTCCGGTGATTCTGAGGGTGGCCAAATACAGGACCTGCAGGCAGAGAGGGCACATGAGCAAAGCTGTCCTCAGTCAAAATACAAATACAGAACAATCGAGCTGACACGTTAAAAAAAAAAAAAAAAAAAAAAAGATTACAAAGGAAAAGACCCATGGGGAAAGAAGGCCGCTGCGTTACCAGCCCCTTGGGGATGTCGGCCTTCTCAGTGACTGCTGAGAGAGGGCCCGCCACAGTGGTCCTCTCTGTCACCCTGGCGCTCACCCATCTACGTGACAAACAGGGGAGAAGCAACATGCAGAGAGATTCTGCAGGGAAAGCACGGTGCAGAAGCAACCCAACCCCTGCAATGCGAAAGCCCTGCCCCTGGGCTCTGCCAGAGCTTCCCGCTGGACCAGAGAAGCACAGCCTCCCAGGAGAGCCCACCTTCTCACAAAGGAGCGCTCAGGGGAGACCAAGACTGCAGAAGTGCCCGTCCTGCTGCAAACACAGGCAGCGCAAAATTAAAGGCACAGAAAATAAAGCAGCTCATCAGACAAAGAAAGGCCAGCAACTGTGACAGCTCCTCAAATTTTCACGAGAACAGCCGGGCTGAATTAAGTAGCACTGATTCAGGTGAGGGGCGCTTTCTAGGGATTAACAGTTGCCAGGGAGGAGCTGATGGCCTGAGGCAAAGCTGGGGAGGGGGACAGAAACCCTACCAGCCACCCCTCCTTCCCCAGGCAGGGCGGAGCTCCGGAGGGCGGGGTTTCAGAGCTGGGCTGAGGTCACGTGATGCCACTGTTACTGTCACAGCTGGCACTGCAGGTGCTTCGGGGCAGGGGCGGCACCTCCTCCCACAGGGGCATCAGCCGTGGGGGCGCCACAGCAAGTGTCCAGGACGCGCCCTCGCCCAGCCGAGCTTCACAGTTCACGGCGCGTGCAAGCGAGGAGGACGCGGGGAGAGGGAGCCGGTGGCTTGGTGGTCATCCTGCCGCGTTTCAGCAGGGCCCCAGGGAGAAACCGCGTGGCTGCTAGAGCCGACCCCTCCGTTTGGAAATGGGGCCAATAGCACCCGCCCTGTCCACTGAGGGCGCAGTGGGCACCACCTGCCTGCACTCCCCGTCTGGCCCTCAGTCCCCCGTGGCTCACAGGCCAGGACCCCCATCATTATCTTTCTCTCTCACCAGCTCATGGCTGGAGGCGGCTGGGAGTACGTCCCAAGGAGGGGAATGACAGACACACAGCACACAGCACTGCCAGACAAGGACACACATGACACCGCTGACCAGAGAGGACACAGAGGGGAAGCCCCTGTCCACCCTCACTGCAGGGAAGCAAGCCGGAGACAAGGGAAAGGAGACAGGGGCAGTCAGCCAGAAGGCCCTCATCATTTTAAAACGCAGGTGGTAATCGTGTGATAACAGTAACACAGTCAGAAACCAGAGGGACAACCGGACTTCCTCTGGAGACAGAAGGAAATAGGGATGCTATGCTCCCCCCACCGCAGGGCATCCTCTCCCGGGGGCAGATGCCTCTGGAAACACGTGTCACACGTGGGAGGAAGCATGTGGCACACATGTAGGGAACCATGCACATCACATGCGAGAAGACCTGTGTCTCACATGTGGGAGGAAACATACTATATGTGAGGGGAAGCACTGTCAAGTGTGAGAGGAACACACGTGTGACGTGGGCAGAACAGGCATGCATGTCTGAGACGAAACATGCACGCCGGGCGTGAGGACTGTTTCCGGCTGCACAGGTGTCCATGCATGCGGCCTGGCCCCCCTGCTCCCTCTCGCCTCTCCCTTCCCCTGGGCTCCCTCCCCGGGGATGAGCCAAAGTACTATGAAAACACAGGCCCACCGGCAAGTGACACAACTCATCACAGCCTGAAGGCCTCAGCTCAGACACCCCCTTCTCTGTGACGCTGGCTCTGATGCCACCAGGAAGAAACTGGTGTCCTTCCGGCCACGTGCCACTCTCCTGGACCTCTCTCCTCAGTGTCACTGCAGTTATCTGCACATCTATGTCACCGCATCATTGGAAGCTGAACTCGGGGCACAAATGTATCTGTTCCTTCTGTGAGTCTCACACCTAACACAGTGAGAGGAATCAAGAGTCCTGTCACCACACTAAATAAGCATTGCTGAGCAAATGAATGAATGAGTGAGTGAATGAATGACTGTCCCAACAAGGCCACATACCTTTCCCAGAAACAGAAAAGAAACACCAGCAGGTCAGAAACACTCTTTCATTCCTATCGTCTGGATTCACATCCAAAAGACCACCACAGGTGAAGAGTGTAAAGAGAAAGTTATAAACCTCAGCCTCCACCCTTTAATTCAGCTGTGGCCAGAAAAAAATAACTGAAGCCAGAGGCTACAAGCCTGAATCAGCAGCTTAATGAGGACTTTTTTTTTTTTTTTTTCCGGACGCGGGGCTCTCTCTGTTTGGGGCTCTCCCCGTGGGGGGCACACGCCCCAGGCGCAGGCTCAGTGGCCATGGCTCACGGGCCCAGCTGCTCTGCGGCATGTGGGATCTTCCCGGACCGGTGCGCGAACCCGTGTCCCCTGCATCGGCAGGCGGACTCTCAACCACTGCGCCACCAGGGAAGCCCTTAATGAGGACTTTGAAAGGAAAGAGCCGGCAGAGCACACAGTGGTCCTGCACCTAGCACTCAAGGAGCCTTACACACTGGAGGATGCGGAAGAGGTTACCAAGAGTTACGCACTTGTTACCATTAACTACCGAACTTTTCTGGACCTTACCATTGGAAAGTTGGATTTCTAAGACTGATTTTTAAGAACCAAAGTCTCTCAGCTAAGATGATAATGTTTCTTTCACTAGGCCCACGGACCGACGGCCCATATTCTAAAAGCCAGGACTGTTCCCGCAGAGAGTACATTTGATAAACAGGCATATGGAGCTGCAAACTACGTTTGTCAGGAGGCTGATGTCCCCCCGGCTTAGGTAATTACGATCCATATGACAGGGCCACAGAAGAGGCGCTCCCTGACACTGGTTAGCAATGCAGATGCTGGGCCCACCCCCGAGATTATCTTGCTTCAAAAAGGATTTCAGGAAGATTAAAGCACTTTATGTCATTTGGGGCTGATCCTTTCTTAGTATCATAACCAAATGGTATACAATTTTGCCTGATAAAACCAGGTACAATGTAACTTATTAATGCCTTACACTGCCTCATTTTGTTCTTAATTCATTTGTTTCTGTCAGCTTTTAATATTTTCTAGAAAAAATTTATAAGCATCCCTCATTAAATAATAATAACAATTTCTTTCTTTTCTTAAGAAGTTTAAAAACTGATGTTCAGGAATCCCCTGGTGGTCCAGTGGTTAGGACTCTGAGCGTTCACCACTGAGGACGTGGGTTCAATCCCTGGTTGGGGAACTAACATCCTGAAAGCCGTGCGGCGCAGCCAAAAAAAATAAAAATAAAAACTGATGTTCTACCAAGAAGGTCAATGGTACAGGCCCGGAGCTGGGTGGAATTGAAACACAAGTAGATGAGAAAAAGGCAGTTAGTCGTCCACCTGGCTCTGTCCCCAGGCCTCTAACACCTCCCCCATCACAAACTCCACCCATCCATCCCCAGAGGAAACAGCTGTGCCTCCTGTCACCAGCTCCCTGTGCTGTCACCTGGTTAGCCTTCCCCTCTCTCCGCCAACCAGCACCCCCAGGCTGCACGGTGCTGTCACCGGGTTTCCTCTTGCCCTGTGAGACAGCCACTGCTAACTATCTTTATAAACAAATCATTCCCATCTGACATTTTCCAGGAGGAAAGTAACACACACACATACACACATATTCAGAAAACTGGAAATTATAAAGAAACAATTTACATCACATTCACATTCCCTGAAGATAACCATGGCTCAAATTTCGAGCCCTTTTGACCTATTTCTAGTCTTTATTCTATGCTGAGATTCAATTTTGTACTTCATCTACTTTTTTTAATAGAGGTATAATTGACATAACATTACATCAGTTTCAGGTGTACAATGGAATGATTCGATATTTGTATATATTGCAAAACAATCTACTTTTTTTTTTTTTTACACAATAGTGATCGCACAGTATATACAATCTGAACATTTCACAGAATCACCTAAGAGTTTTTAGGTTGTAACGCTTCTGAGGAGACTCAGCTTTCCAGGCGTGCAGTGAGGCAGCACACTGCCGACAGTGGCCAGGCTCAGCCAGGCTAAACATGTGACCCTGCCATCGAGGATGGGAATGCCACAGGATCCAACCTACTACCTGCACGATGTGGTCGCTTCTCGCGCTTTCACCATTCTATGCACCAATACGATATTATCCCTCGTATATAAAGCTTCTTCGATGTTTTGAGTATAAGAATTACGTGTTAAATAATATGAACACTTATTTATGAAGCTCTAGATGTATACCATCAAATTAGCTGCCAGAATGACTATGCCAACACAAAGTCCCTCATCAACACGGGAGGGCGAGGATTTCACCACACCCCATGTGGCACTGAATACTCTTGGACAGCGATTTTAACACCATGACCCCCCAGTGACAACAGTAACTGGATGGGGGCTGCACCACGTGACACCGCCTGATGTGCGTTTCCCCAAGATCAACGGCAGTGCACAACTCCGCAACATCCACGGCACCTGCAGACAGCCCTACCTCTATTTGAGGATGAGGAAGACGAAGTCCAGCAAGGTTAATCCATTCGCTCAAGGTCATACTTTTGTGTCAAGCCGTGGACTGAACCTCAATCTTGTGAGTATCCAACAGTCTTTCCACTATAGTGGCCAGGACAGCACATAGGTCACACCCTGTATATCTCCCTGGACC